AAAGTATGTGATCTTATTAAAATGATGACATGCTAACATCAGCAGAGAAGGTTTCTAAAAGTATGTGATCTTATTAAAATGACATGCTAACATCAGCAGAGAAGGCATTGTGCTGCTTAGCAGGTAACAGTTTCCTCCTTCCTGCAAAGGAGGACGACTACTCTATTCCATTCCTTTCTGCCAGTTTCAACATAAGGAGGCTAGGCTATAAAAACCTGCTGGATACTGAGGCCTTGGTAGCCTCTCTGCCATAAGGAGAGCTGACCAACCATGCAGCACCAGGATCCATGGCCAGCTGGGCTCAGGGCTCCACAGTATAATGAGAGCATCTGTGTGTTTCCATCTGGTATGTTGTATCATACTACATCTCTGTCAACCAACTATACAGTAAAACATCTATGGCACCAGTGGCCTTTGATACATCAGGACATAAAGAACATATGCTCACTGGGATTGTGGCTGGTCCAGAACCACCACTTGGCACATATATCTGGATAGGCAAGGAGAGGGAAAGAAGTTAGCTATGTGGGAGACAAAAGTTGAAACAGATGGATGAGTTACTTGGCTGAGCAGGTGGATGAGGGATGAGAAAGGGCAGCTAAATCTATTGGAGAGAAGAGAACTAGAATACATTGAGGTGTAGAAGTGGATAGGTTACTCACCTGTAAGTGTGGTTCTCTGAGTGGTCCTCCATGTACTCACAGAATTAGGTTCTGCACCAGCACAAACAAACCTCACTAAAGCTTCCACTGCTCTAGCCTTGCATCTTCCTTTCCCTTGCTCTTTACTGCACATGCTACACACACTCTCCCCAGTCTCATTTTGTTCACAGCAAAGATAACAAGTTACAGTATTTAGTTATTATAGGCAAGACAAAGTGGGGAGGTGGGCAGCTTGTGTGAATATATAGATGACCACTTGAAGAATAACAGTTACAGATGAGTAACCTGCCCCTTGTTGTGGTCTCTGTGATTCACACAGTTGGGTGACTGACAAGTTCAGTTCTTGGGAGGAGGGATGTCACACCAGAACAGAGAACAGAGTTGCTCTACTAAAGGAACCGTCTCTTTGAACTCTTAAATCAAGTCTGTACTGAGTCACAAAGGTCAAAGTTTGAGGCCATGTATCTGTTTTACAGCTGTTTTGAATATCAATTCCTCTCTTGAATGTTGGTAAAGAAGCCTCCAGCCTAGTTAAATGACTTATACTGTACTGTATTATATGAAGGTCATTTAATATTTGAGATATCATAGGCCAATTTTATTGTATGAACTTCTGAGATGTGCAGCTTTTCCTAGGGCCTTGATAACTTCTGAACTCCTTGGTTGATAAATAGGTTAAAGCCTTCACATCTAAGGCATGAAATACTATTTCTAAATCAATCTGCGCTAATGGATTAAAGGTTGTTAATATTAGTGGTTGGGAAAAGATACTACTTTTGATAAGATATGTTCGTGTAAAGCACTGGTTCTTAACCTTGGGTTACTCAGGAGTTTTGGACTGCAACTCCCAGAAGCTTTCACCACCAACTGTGCTGGCTGGGGTTTCTGGGAGTTGCAGTTCAAAAACATCCGAGTAACAAAGGTTAAGAACCACTGGTGTAAAGCATTACTTTGTATTTATATATATGGTGGATCACATCTCAATGCCGAAATTTCACTTGTTCTTCTTGCTGAAGTAATGGCAATTAGAAATACTGTTTTAAAAGTCAGTAATTCAAGATTTGTTTTTGCCATAGGCTCAAAATGAGTTTTTGTGAGTAGTGTCAACACCAAAGAGAGAGCCCAATGTTTGTGTGGTGTCTTCTGGATGTTTTTCAGTCCTCTTGGAATTTTTTTCCCCAATGTTGGATGTTTAAGTAACTGCAGGGAAAGATGATTCCCAGGTTGATGTGCTACTATCATCACTAACTATTTTAAACATGAAATTCATAATCTTATCTCTATTAAATGCAATAGAAATGTAAGTCCAGTAATGCTAGACTGCTGCTTTTATTAACTGATAACGTATATTCCATGAATCTGTTCCATTTATAGGCGTATAATTGTTTAATGGACAGTTTTCTAGCATGTTGCAGAATATACTTTATTGGTGAGTTATCCTGCAGGCAGTTGATTTGAATTGCTGTATATCTGGATGTTATATTAATTTCTTGTGACTTGTTAAGTGGTTGTGACAAATTGGTAATTTCACCCTCTCAACAGCAGCAACAGAGTCACAAACCATGGCTGGTGATTAGGATCACACCTGATCTATTTTGTTAGATCTTGACTATTGTACACTGGATCAATGGGAATGGGGGAAACATATACGTAAGGCAACTGGACAAAGGGATCATGGACGTGTCTCCAAGAGAATATTTCCCTTTGTTCACCCAAGAACAACACATTTTGTATTTTCTCGTAAGAAACGAACACATCTATATCTGACTTTTTTTGTTAATTTTGTAAAAACAAATGGCAAGAATTCTCTCTCATGAGTCTGCTAGAGTTATGTTCAGTCTGCTTTCTGCTTATCTTCCCCTGTGACCTGAACTGCTAAAAGAAAAATGTGCTTTACGATACACCATTCCCATGAAGGACTGACAGGTAAAGAAGGCTTAATAATTTCATTCCACCTTGTCTGTTTACATAACACATCACTGTTGTATTCTCCATTGCTCCTTGAACAACTTTCCCAAGTACTGTATAATATCCTTGAACACCCCTAATGCTTTGAATTTGATGTGATGCATTCTCTTGCGATGCCCATGTTGCATATAGTTCTCTGTATAGACAACATGCTCCTCATACTGTTTTGTTTGCATCTGTTATTGTAAGAATGAATGACTGTAGCTGACAGAAGTGTATTCCCATTGTAGGTGCTGTTTTCTTGTCCACAATGACAACTGTCTTTGGAGATATGATGCAAGTTGAACTTTTTACAGTGTTGTATAGGTTAAGTCTTGGAATCAGAAGCTTTGGGGAAAATAGAACGGTCTGTACTGATGGGCTATGCAATTCCCCATCTGAAATGGAACCCACATTTTGACTCTCATCCTGTTGATCTCCGATAAATTCCACCAAGTGCAACTTTGCCATTGACTGCAACTGCAGTGTCAAGGCCTTACCCTATTTCTCGGCCCTTTTCAGTTTGTCTAGCTTGATATCTGAAGAGCTTTTTCTTTTATTATTATTTGAATCAGACCTTGAAGAGAGTTTGTTCGATTTTGAAGCCACTTCTGAAGTTGTGGGTTCGATATCATCCCTTACAAAGGCTGTCTGTTCCTTAATTGGCAAATCCTTCAACACATATTCCATAGTCTTTTTTTGGCCTTTGTAATTTGTTCTGATGCTCATTTTTTGCCTGTAGTGGTCTTGGTTAGAGAATCAGTTGCTTTTCTCCCACAGGTATGATTTAATCACAGCTGGAGATGGTTTAGAGTTAATTTTGTAAAACCTTTACAGCTCATACAAGATTTTACTAAGTGAGTCTCTCCTAAGCAGAATAAGCACTGATCATGGCCATCTGCTTGAGGTATTTTCATTCCACATCCAGAACAATATTTTATTAAGGCTGAAGAGGCCACAAACTGCCAAAATAGAATTAGAATTTTGAAGAAAAAGAGGGCAGAGGGAAGGGGGAAAAGGGAGAGGAAAACTATTGGCTATGTTTTCTTTTTAAGCTTATAAATGACTAACAAAGGGGAAAGGTAAATACGGAAAAATTTTAAAAGGTTATTTACAAAAGAAATCAGTTTTGAGCTGTGGAGCAATTGAAGAACATTGTCATCATGGCGGACAAAAAAGAACTGAGAAGAGTGGGTGGAACATGCACAATAAACAACAAGGGAAAAGAAGACACAAGGCTAGAGCTCTGGAAGTTTCTGTGAAGATTGTTCATATAGGCAGAGAACTGAATTGTGTGAATCATAGAGCATGATGAAGGATAAGAGGTTTGTAACCCACAAAAGGCTGTGTAAAAATCTTGATAATAACCTTTGAACTGAAGAGCTGGAAGGGACCCTATGGATCAAGCCCAGCCCTTGTCAAGGAGGCATGGTGGGGAATCAAACTCTCAACCTCTGGCTGTGAAGCCAAATACCAAAACCACTGAGCTATCAGTGTATTATAAAGATGCTTGGACTTCACTAAATGGTGGAAGTGCATGCAACTTTACAGAGTAAGCTGCTTCATACATGGAACAGAAAGTCAGCATTTAACAGTGTTTTTATATAGCTGTAATCAGTCTCTGGATTTCTAGACACACCAGCTTTAAAAGCAATACTGGCTTTTCAGGCCTGGAACTGGAGAAACATCTATGCTTGCAGAATGCAAACTTAATTTATTAACATACTTTTTATAACTTTAAAGAACTGCTATATCCAGAAAGCTCCGGGACAAGTAGCTGCTTCATAAAATAGAATGGTAGTAAAAAGCTACTCTAAAATATTAAAAATATTAAAAACACATACAATGGAATATGCTTTTCAAAAAAGCCCATACATAGATTTAAAAAAAAAAAAAGGCAGCAAGCAAGCCCTTGAGGATGACTTTGATACCATCTTGCTCCTTCTGGGCCCATCCAGTAATCTTCTGGGAATGGAAGGGGAGAACTGTGTCAGACCTTTCACCCTGCTTGGGATTTCCTAATTTGGCCCTTTTCTTCCCCCACAGCAGAGATGAGGGAAAGTAAGACTGCCATTGTACTCCAGTTTTATTGCAGAACAGTTTGTATTTTATGGGAATGCCTTTCCCCATAAGAATCCCATCTTCCTAAACCATTATCAACTATGGGACCTGATCTAACCGAAATCTGTAAAGACATGAAAGAGAAGATCTGTTCATTCAGACAGTTCTGCTACTAGGGAACCCCATTCTTTGGAAATTCTTTTTTCCCCTTCAGCCTGTTTTAGGTTATTATATTTTATTGGTTTTATGCACTCTGTGCAATGAGCCATTTTATTGTTTGTAATATTCTTTGTTTATTTTTATGTTACTACTTATTAATCACTTTTCTGCCCACCAGGGCCCCAAAACAATATACAGTAAAATATATTAAAAACATTATTTAAAACATATTAAAATTAATTTTTAAAACCAGTGTTAAAAGCCATCTTGGGCCCATCTGCCAATTAAGCATAAAGAATATAAATTCTAAAACCAAAATATTAAACATTCTAGTCTTATAGCACAATTAAATCTCTCTCAAATATATACAGAACTGTGAAACTGAAAAAACCTGTGTCTGAACTGTTTGTTTTCAGAATTAAATTAAAGGAAACTAAGGGATCTCCTGTCACTTACAATGCAAATTTTCCAGATCTGGACCATATCTTACTCAGTAAGCTGTTCTATCCAGTGTATAGCTAACTTTTCTTTAAAAAAAACCCTAGGTAATTATTTACAAAACCAAATTACAAGACAAAGTAGTAGTAATGTTCTGTTCTCTCAGAAATGCTTTTCTGTTCTTGTACTGTTTTGAGCCAGTAAGAGTTTTCCAAAGGTTGTCTTATTCAATAACAAGGAAGGTTTTGTAAATGATATAGTATTCCTAATCCAAAAGTAATGGCCAAGCTCTAAATGAAAGTTTTTTAATTTGCTTCGAAGATGCCAAATGAATTTAGGAAAAACATTTCTAAATGATTCCTCACCAAATGCAATTTTTCAATTTTGGCACATGTCTCTTTGGCACATGATGCTTTGGTTCTTCATATGTCATCACCAGTCTGGTAATGCTTCGGCTTAGAAGAAGATACTACACCAGCGATCCAGCATAAGTGCATCTTTATATGTGAACACATTCTTATGAAACAAACGATGGCTGTCAGACTGTTAACAAAAAAATCTCTGCTTCCTATAACTTGTAAATGATTACATCTCCGAGATGTTGTGAAGAGAGAAAAAAGGTTCCCAAACAAGGCAGCAGTCAAACTGTAAATAATGCATTTGTATCAGCATAGAGGAACAGATTATTTCTTGGCTCACTGCAAGAAGGCAGAAATTTTATTGTTCCAGTTCTGCCTTTGGCGAGAATTTTTTATGCTAACTAAAATGTTTCTCTTGCAAGCGAAGTTGCACTTTCTGTAAAAAAAAAACCTTCACAAAAGCACTCAAGCTTTCTTCCAAGGGACTGCCCCTCACAACTGTTGCACGACATAGTCCTCAAATGGCCGGCGTTGGTAGCAAGCAACACTGTCCAGCACCCACTCGCGTGAAACTACAGTCGCACTGCAGTGCAGCGGGAATTCTGCAACACAAAACCAACTGTGAGTCTTTGAACATCCGTATGGTCTTCTTCCCTGCCCCTCCAAAAGGCTAAAGAGTGTACTTCATTTAAGGGCGTCTTTGATTGATGAACTTTTAGAAAGAAATGACAAAAAATGGTGACAAGGGGAAGATTCTGTCCCCTGGTTTGCACAGCCCACCATTGCCATGACATTCCTTTACATCTCTGGGCCAACAATTCATTGCTAGCAAATTTTAAATGACAACATAGCATATGTAATGATGGACTGAGATCATATTTCCCTTCTCAGACACATTACTGGCTGAAATCCTGTTCTGCAGCTCTGTGTGCATAGTGGAGATGACATCATCATCAGTGGCAAATTGGAGCTTATTAAAGGTGGAAGGGGAGCAAGGTAACCCTTACAATTTCTTACCTCGACCATTTGTGCAAATGAGAAACAAAATCTTGTCATCCCAGAAGACCCAGGCAAGTGACAGTGATAACAAATTGTGCCTGGTGAGTAAAACCAAGCTAACGTTTGTAGACCCCAGTCCACATCATACTGGAGCTAGTTCTGTTTCCTTCCAACAGCCACCTCCCATGGCTGGTATTTATCATTCTAAAGCAGCAGACACCTGGACACCCTGCAACATATCTTATCTCGGAAGCTATGGGCAATGCTATAATCTCACCTGGACAGGTGGCATCTTCCACCCAAGCATCAGGCTGAACAACCACCACAGCAGCAGCGTGCTAAAGAATTGAAAGATAAAAAGACAAGAATGAAGGAGGAGGCAACATTAGCTGAGCTACACGGCATCAATTTCTCTTGCCTGTCTGCAACCAGAGATAAGGTTGGGACAGGCTGCTTGTCTTTTTTGCTGTAGCAATCTGACCAGAGGGGGAATTTAGGAAAATACGTCTCCACATAGGCACCAAAATGAGATCTACATGACAAAGCAATAGCAAAACTGAGTAGACGACACTGCTGGAAAAGATACACTGGGAGCCAAAGGAAGCATAGAAGCAGCCTAAGGACAGGTGCAGCCTGGCACTGTAATTTGCATACACTTAAGCCCTATTCAGGCATTAGGGGAACATGCTTAATCAACATGTGAGGAGGCAACAACTCTGAAGAGAGGCTTGTCTACCCATGAAGATTCTTCACTCAGGTCAGAATACAAGAAAATGAAGTTTTAACTTCCATAGAGAACTCTCACAGATAGACGAATCTTTTAAGACTGGTTGTGTTTGTGTGAACACTATGATGAAGTAGAGAGGATAAAATATGTTCTCCCTCATGGATTGATTGAACATGTTCCTTTATCGTCTGAACAAACAAAAAGATTTCTGGGGAAAAAAAGACAGGAAGATTTTTAAAAGCTGCTACCAGTCAAGGTAGGCTACATGGTCCACTTGTGTGCAATTAGAAGTGTTCACACTCCCTTCTCAGGAGAATCCATGGGACTAAGATTGGGTTAAGGCAGGCCAAATGTATCAGTTCTCTTGAGGAATTAAAGCAGTAAAATAGAAATAATGTATGTGTGTAACCTTCTCTCAACTAGACCCTTTCGCTATATCTACAATAATTAACAAACACACTTACTGTTGCACATGAAAACAAGTGAGGTTGTCTCACAAGAGTGGCACCACACAGCTCTACCATCCACTCCAGTTGTTCTGAAGGAATCAGACAGAGACACAACATTAAATTTCAATGTCAGTGGCCCCCCCACATCTGATAACACAAACACAGAGTCTGGACTCGTCCCTCTATTTGCGGGAAGAGATACTCAGACTTCTTTTTTAGCTTTATCTGTAAATTGTCCTCTGAAAAAGGAGGGGATAAGCAACTTGGTCCTAAATCCAACTGCCAGCCCTAAGTAAAGTAGACTCGGTGCATCTTTTGGCTTTACACAAGTGTTAACCTGTCATTCAATAATTGATTCAGCAGATCTACTCTAGCTGGATCTAACAACTTGAATTAGGTGCCCTCCAATTGTTTCAAAATAACATTCCTAGAATCTTCAGCCAACATGGCTTATGATGAGGGACTATAGAGATGTGTAGTCAGGACTAGCAGTCAGATTAAGGGTCAGTGCCTTTAATACTGAACTATGAAAGCACTATGTCAGAACATCTTCTTCCAAGTTTTGCTGTCCATCTTACTTGGTCCTCTCAAGCCTCAGGCCGGTAAGAAGCCCGTAATATTTCAACAAGGAATCGGGCTTTCTGGGCAGTGGTGCCCTTTTTTGGAATGCCCTTTGATAGAAAGTACGCCAGGTGCCCTCCCTTCAGATCCTTAAGAAGCTCCTAAAAACAGAAATTTTTAGACAAGCATTTGGGGAGGCCCTCCTTAAAGAAGAGAGGCAGAGAGAAGAAAAAGAATATAATTAGAACACCTTATTGTAAATTTTATTGCTCTCTGATGAACAGTATAGTTATTTATAGTATCTGATTGATTTTATAATATATATATGTATGGTGTATTGTTGTAAGCCGCCCACAGTAGTTGGTTTGCTAGATGGACAGTATAAAAATCTAATAAATAAATAAATTCATATGGAGCATGGAAATTAGCATTCTGACACAAACGTCTAGCCTATGTAGCTGGGAAGATACATTGGAAAGCTGTGGATAATGACAGCTCAAGAGCCAGAGGACGTGAAGCAGAAGTGCCAAAGGTCAGAGATGCAGTTCCAGCAGTCTGCACAGCCTGTCTGCCAGCAATCAGAAGCAGGACACATTATGCAAAAATAAACACACAAATAAATATTAAGTACGCAACACATTCAGGCCACAGAATTTATTTTCTTGGGTAGAATAGCAAAAGAGCACAATATATCTGTGAAGATTCTCAGTCATCCAAGTGAGCTTATCTGGAACTTGAGTCATGGCAACTGGACTTCTTTCTTATTAAGCTGAAATGTTTTGCTACTCATCCAAGTAGCTTCTTCAGTCTGAGGAGAGTTGGTAGGAGAGCCCTGATATATACTCCAGGTTGGCTTCACTTCCCCCTGGTCCGAATAGGCTTGTTAGATGGACAAAAGACTGGGGGTGAGTGAAAATCCCACTTCTGCAGTCCTTCTCCACCCATTGTCATGGGTCATTAAAAGTCGTTAACTGTTAATGGTCTTTCTGGTGTGTGGTCCTGATCCTTCAGGGGATGGAGGAAGGGGCAGCATGATAAATGGGAGACGATTGTTTCTAAGGCCTCCACCCCTGTTGAGTGAGGTATTTTCTATATGCACATATATTTCCCTGACCTCTTTCTAAAACCACCTATCTTCCTGGTCCAAAATGAGTACATCTTGGTCATCAAATGAGTGTCCTTTGTCCTTCAAATGAAGGAACACTGCTGATTCTGAGCCGTTGCCCCTCCTGTGCTGGGCCTTTCTCCTATTTAGTGGCTGTTTGGTTTCTCCAATGTAGATCTCAGAACACTCCTCTTTGCATTGAACCACATATACTATATTGCTCCTGTTGTGTTTTGGTGTCTGGTCTTTTGAGTGGACAAGTCTCTGCATAATCACATCCCTATCCAAAAGTAAAGCCCACTAAGAGGTCAAAGATTTCAGGGTGACATGGCAAAACAGGACCTCTTCTTTGATGACTAAACATCAGCAGAAATAGCAATCTTCCTGCTGTTTACAATCTTCCTTGTCTCTGAATTAAAAAACAGGAGTCAAAAGGCTCTGAAATCTTAAAAGTCTTCTCAACTAAGTTCAGCTGTTCTGATTTCCTTACCTGGGAGCATGTCAGTGAATGGTCCATAGCAGCATATTTCCAAGCCTTGAAAAAGCTGGAAAAGGAAACAAATATACTGTATTAGGAGGGCTGTGCAAATGACCTCCTTGGAGCAGGTGACCTGGGATTGTTATTTGTGTAAACAAAAGCATCAGATTGGACCTAGGCCTGATTTTGTCCCTCTTTTTTGATCTGAGCAGATGAAACTAAGAAGTATCTTGACATACAGCTATAATGTTTTGTGAATAGTTAATTAAACAGTGGTTCTCTACCACTTATCTCTCAATAGCACTTCTAATCCTTTAATTAAAAACACCACATATCTAGCCATTCCTTTGTCCATCTCCATCCATGCTTTATCCATACTGCACAACTTCATCCATTGGCAACCAACTTTCCTTCTTCTCCAGCTCTCATATCCTCCCTTCTGGCTTGCTAGATCCTATATTTGTCAAAACAGACAGAAAAACTGTTATATTATAGGGCTGCCTCATTAACATGGATTAAAGATTGGATTTTATTGGAAAATCAAAGACTGTTAAAATTAGAAGGCCATGATCTGAAATGGAGGTGGCACACCTTTCTTTGGTACAGTAGAGTGGATGATTTTAAACAATTCAATAACCATATTTTGAGAAAATCTTTATTATGCTCTTGGACTAAAATTCAAAGACAGCTGTATGTCAAAATACTATGTTGGGTAATGCGAGTAGAGGCATTCTCTCTTCCAAATCTGAGAGAAAAAAAGAAAACCTTAAGGTATAGAGAAGCACTAAAATCTGATGGGACACTAAAAAACAAAGATGAACGAATGATACAGGGATTTGATATAGATTGGTGGCCACACTCTCTGCTGAGAGAGATGATGGAGATGTAAACAAAAAGAAGGTTCTTTTTATCATATGTGGTTTTGTGGGAAAGCCCAAAAATATTGGAAAATGGTTGAAACGCTTTTGTATGAGGTTTTGGAGACTCCGATAACTGTAACCCCTGAATTTTTTCTTCTAAATATAATCCCGGATTCAATGGATCTAATGGAAAAATATTTAGTTTTCCATATCTTGACAGCTGCAAGAATTCTTTTTGCTAAACACTGGAAGGACCCGGAGAATCCACCTCAAGATGAGTTAACAACAAAAATCCTGGATATGACGGCGATGGACCAACTATCAGAATGGCTAGACTCAACAAGAAAGATGAACCATGAAGATTGTTGGCATAAATGTTATGATTGGCTTACAAATAGAATATAAATTAGTATTTGATAATTGAAAGCCTAAGATTAATTTAAAATTAGAATATGTATGATAAATTAGTTACATTGGAAACTTATGTACCTTTGAAATGTAACAGATAAGAATGAACATTGTAAAATGTTCATGTTGATTTACAACCTCTGTTTAATTCCATGTCCCCTATCCCTATCCCTAACCCCTAAAATAAAACTTTAAAACAAAAAAGACAGAAAAACAAACAAATATTTCACTGGCCAGAACTGTCTTGTGTACTTACGCAAATGGTGCAACATTTTGAAGCAAATTGCCTCAAATTAAGGAATCCCTCTAGATATTATCTGTTGCATGCCAAATCATGCAACTGTACGCAATGATTTCTGTGTTATACTGGTGGAACCAGGCAAAAAGATTTTGGCTACTGCAAAGTCTTGAAATTAAATATTGGCTTTGTATGCTTGACTGTCTTGTTACTTTCCCTCCTGTAAGAGAGACACCTCCGCTGTACTTGGTGGGCCATCCACCTCATCCACAAGCCCTCCCATAGACTACCAAGGGATGCCAATAGCAGGGCAGCCCGAAAGCAAGGATGGCAAACTGTAGGACATGGGCAGGCAGGGAGAGATTGAAGAGCAACAGCTCTGGGAGGAGGGCACAGATGTGACTGGCTAGAAGGAGAAGGAAATGAAGGAGGAGGAAGAGGACTGGTTGGAGGCTGTGGTAGAATATCCACTCATCTGCTGCACCCTGGGATAAGAGGAGGAAGCGCCATGGACGAGGACATGGACCACTTCATCAGGGGCCAGGGCCTCATAAGTCAGGCATGCTGCCCCACCACCTCAGGACTAACTAGAAAGCAGAAAGGATGCTCCACTATCCCACAACCAAGGCACCAAACCCTGACACAGAAGCAGTACTGCAGGTGTCACTGCCAACACCAGAGGCTGGTGCAGCTGGCCTGGAAATGCAAGGAGCAGTTGCTGAAGGAAGGCCAACTGCCTTACAGATGTACTGTCCCTCACTGAGAAAGGCCTGGCTACTGAGGCTATGGAGTCCAACTGAGCCCCAGCATGGAGAGACAGGTGACTCAGGACCAGTGACTGCAACTAGGGCCTGAGTAGATGGATTGCTTGAAGCCACAGACAGGACTGTGACAGAGTGATGTTCTGGTCCATTTGTTGGTGAAATAAAGTTTGTTGCATCCAATGATCAGACTGCTGAGTCAATGAAGCCCAAGTGGGAGATATATTCCATCTGCCACAAACTCCAGAGGGAGTGATGGGGAATCACACTTCCCAAACTGAATTTTCTTTATGTTTACAGAGCATGTTCACAGAATGCTCAAGAACATTCTGACTGGAGAGTTTTGAAAAGTTACTCTTTGAATCGCCGTTTACCAAAATTCTCTCAATCTCTTATCTAACATAATGAGTTGAGAAAATTATGAGTTGTAGTAAAAAAAAATCAACTTTTTCAAGTTTTGCTCTTATCAACATCACAGAATCCAAGTTTGTCACATTCTGAATACTACTCATACCAACTCCTTGTTTTGATTCCCAATCTGAAGAACAAGCTGTTACTTTCCCTCTATAGCACCAGGGCAATATGACATTTTGTGTGCTGCCTGCCATTTCCTCATACATTTTTAACAGTTAACAGGTCCTAGTGTTCAGAACATTAAAAACTATTTCAGAAAGAAGACCAAGCACACACCTGCACACTTAGCAACAGCATTTCAGTTACAGAAAGTACAATGTTTCAAAGCAAAAAAGCAAAGCGTGCTGCTTATATACTGCCCTATAGCACTTCAAACACTCTCTGGGTGGTTTACAGGTTAATTATGCAGGCTACACATTGCCGCCACTCCCACCCCCACCCCCCGCAAGTTGGGTACACATTTTACCAACCTTGGAAGGATAGAAGGCTGAGTCAACCTTGAGCCAGCTACCTGGGATTGAACCCAGGTTGTGAGCACAGTTTTGGCTGCAGCACAGCAGTTTAACCACTGCGTCACAAGGCATGTTTCAGTTGGATATAAAGTACAAGGAAAGAGGATTTGGCAGGTGTTATTTAGGAGGGTGTTCACTGACTGTACACACTTTTTGTATCCAATGATTCATCTCTGGCATTTCTTCCCCATAAGCAACATCCACCTTTAGTGAAGTCATGTGAAGTTATTGCAAGAACTCTCTTCTATAAAAATTGTTTCCTTTAAACAGAGAATGACCTTAGGATGAACAGAAGCATTCTGGGAGTGGCACAGTCTGAGGATATTCCCATGAATGTATGAATGGAAGAGGTACTTGCTGTATTTGTACATCCTATTATCTTAAAGTAATAATGGTTTAAATGTCCAACCTTTCTAGCAGAAGATCCTCTTGCTCTCTTGGGCGCTTGGTGGCTTCTCCCATTGCTTACATCTCCTCTCACTTCAAAGTCCTCCTGGAAGATAACATAAACAAATTCAGATACCAGTGAAACTGTGATAGGGCGAGTTATGTCTGCAGAATCACAGAATAAATGCTTGGAATTCAGAAGCTGGAATCTTCTCATTCAAAATTATGGGGCAAGGAGAGAAGGTGAAAAACTGGGAATTGTCCAATTGTCTGCAAGTATTAATGCCAAAAAATTATTGCAGAATGAGAACCAACCTAGGCAGAAAAGCTGATTGAAAGCCGTAACCATAATTTCAGTTCTAGAGCTTGGAAGTTACCCATTTTGGAATACAACTCCCAGAATGCCCTAGCCAGCATGGATTCTGAGAAATATAGTTCAAATATTCACTTTTACTCACTCCGCCTTAACAAAGGAAAAAGAATATTGATAAAGATTGCTTAGACAAAGCTATTGCAACCTTTGAGTATCTCATTACAGAGCCATGTGGTTAATGCCTAAGAATAAATGAGCATTGCACTGTCTTCTCAGGAAATGTCTCTTGGGTGTACCTTTAGCATACAATGTATAGTATCTCGAAGGAACACTGATTCTGCATCTGGGGAGGGAAGAGTGAACGGCAAATTATCTAGTCAATGGTTGTTGTAGGTTTTTCAGGTTATTTGGTTGTGTTCTGAAGGTTTTTCTTCCTAATGTTTTCCAGTCTCTGTGGCTGGCATCTTTAGAGGACAGGAGTTAGCATTCCTTCAGAACCTTCGGAAAACCTTCAGAACACGGCCAAACAGCCTGAAAAACCTACAACAACCATCGGATCCCGGCCGTGAGAGCCTTCGAAAATACATATCTAGTCAATGTTTCTTTGATTCTCGGACTGCAAACATGGCTCAAGACTGAGATTAAAGGGTAGCTTCAACCAGCATTATCCTACCCAAGATTTAAAATCAGCTGATAAGTTCTGCTTGTGGTGTCCAAGAATGCTACAGAATGCAGGGTGACCACAAACAGCAGGGCTTTCTAAGTGGTGGCACCTCAGCTCCAAAACTTCCTTCTGACATGCAGCTGCTTCTATCCTTCAGGTACCAGTTAAAAACATACTTATTCCCCAAAAGCTTGTACAAATAGATAAGTGTACAACTGACTTTGGCTGCTGCCCTTCTGTATCATTTTATTATTGGCACACATTTATAATATATCTTTTATATGTTTTTAATTTTAGATGTGTGTAATTTGCGATTTTAGATTTGTGATTATAGATGTTTATAACACGTTATCTCAACTTTGTTTTACACAACTTATCAGTTGCCTTGGCTTTTCATGAGGAAGGGTCAGGTATAAATTGAATTAATAATCAGGATCAGAACGACAACAACAAAAACGATTGTTTGGGAACACCACAGAACTGTTTTTTGTCCAGAGTCTCATGATGAGATAGGCTGTCCCTACCACTATGAAAGAAGATAAGAAACCCTCCAAGCAGTCTTAGTATTCAGTTTAGGAATACCTCTGGAAAGTCTACATCTCCATGTGGTCAACAGCCAAGCCTACACCCACTGTGTAGCAGCTTGGCAGGAAACTCAGTTCACCACAAATGTCCTTATTCCCCCCACTAAGGACCAAGCTCAAAATCTACTCCAACTGACAAAGGGCACTTGAGTTGGTTACTCTGGGGGACAGCCTGCAGTATCAGTGTTGTGGATGTTTGCTCCAGCATTTGTTATTTTCAGTATGCCCTGACACACTACTTAGTGGATATGAAAAGCCCTACCCCATCCAGTTTACGTTTGGATATTGTTTTCATAAACACAGATTAACAATCTTTTTTTCAATGTTAGATACCCTCTTCCTTGCTTGAAACAGAGAAAATCACAAGTAAATCCAGAACTCCCCCCCATCTGTTCCATTTTGAGTCACAACTATCTACTTAGAATTTAAATGGTGGGAAATTGAAGGACCACAGTAAATAAGTACTGTAGTGGCTCTACTTAGCCTTTCTCCAGTTCCCTCTAATAACTCTGTAAACAAACTCACAAATGAGCAAATAACCTATAAGTGCAGACATCAGACATACCTCATTAAGGACTTTTCCTGCCTTGAGTGATTGTTCAATCCCTAGGACAGATCAGATAAAATCTATTATCAGATCCTTTTAGCAACTGGAACATAATTTTTAATGTCTACCTCAAGAAACATACAAAATCTGTATCAATGTGGTATAAAGGAGTAAGACCATACTTAAGTAACACTATCTGCTGCCAGTATTACTTGCATAGTGGTAGAAACTTCACATACATGCACAATTCCTTTCAGATTGCAGATCTGTTTTCTTCAATACCAAAGCTGTATTACATGAAATAGTTTATGGCCAACTTGCACAGATAAAAAGCTGGCCCTTCTAAGAGGAATTTATGCATTCACACAAAAACAGCATCAAGGGAAAACACAAATACAATGAACATAGGTGGATTTCATCAAAATTTGCTTCCATCTGCAGGCTTTCCAAAATTCACTCTCCTTCTGGGTATGACATTATATGGAACTCTGAAACCCTAACTTCCTAAATATACATTCTCCACATTTTCAAGACATAATGGCTAAAGGGGGAATTCCCAAATGTGGAATTCTTTGCTTGTGGTTGAATCCCGCATTTGAATGGTGCAATTATGGGATTTCAAATACAGAGCATGAACCAAATGTTGGAGAGAAGGAAATGAAAAATGGTCATAGAGGTGCAGTAGGACCAAGCTGGGCATAATGTTGGGAAATTCAGTATCAGTTCTCCTGCAATTTTGTTTTAAGTTAAATTTAAAGAAGACAATGGAGGGTGTGTTTGAAAACTGGGCTGGAACTGCAGCTCTGGTTTCCTGACCTAATTTGCTCTGCTGAAGCTAAGTTTTTTTATTAGTAAGTTCTGATGGGTGGATTTTATTGGTTTTGCCGGCTTCCTTTAGGCAGAAAGATAGATATGAGTTGAATATAAGGTACAGTAGGACCCCTGTATGCACAGGATCGGTATCCACAATTTCACGTATCTGCAGTCTGAAAATATTAAAAATAAGAAAAATTCCAGAAATACATATTTCTAATGATGTAAGCTACCAGAACTAGCCACCAGAGGAAGCCAGAGATCATGCTATGGATAGTATTTGTTATTATAATAGTATTCACTATTATCCATAGTTTTCAGCCTCCGCAGGAGAGCTTGGAACAGATCCCTCGCTGATATGGGGGGGATCCTACTGTATACAAAAAAATACATATAAAATACATATAAAATAAATAAAAATAATTTATTTTGTCATGAACCTTAACAATGTGCAATGTGCAAGGGGAAAGGGCAGAGAGATTTTACTGAATGCTCATACTTACACTGGTAGCTCACCACCCATTTCTGTCCAGCAATACCTAGGAAATACTTCAATGTCCGCTCACAGACCAGATCCTCATCTGAAGATTAAGCAGAAAGATTTCATTTAGTGTATTCACGAAGGCTTTCACGGCCGGGATCTAATGGTTGTTGTGGGTTTTTCGGGCTCTTTGGCCGTGTTCTGAAGGTTGTTCTTCCTAACGTTTTGCCAGTCTCTGTGGCCGGCATCTTCAGAGGACAGCACCGTGCATATCAAAGTCTACTCAGGGAACGATAGGAAGAACAACCTTCAGAACACGGTCAAAAAGCCCGAAAAGCCCACAACAACCATTTCATTTAGTGTTAATTAAAAAGTGGCTGAATAGCTCAGTGAGTTCAATAACTGGTAGCAAAGCCAGGCATTGGGAGTTCAATTTTCCATTTTGCTTCTTGGGGGAACAGCCAGCCCGTGTGGCCTTAGGCAAGCTACGTTGCCCCAGGACACCCCCCAGAAGAAGGTTCTGATAAATCATGTTTGAGTATCCTATACCTAGAAAACCTTGGAAAGGGTCACCATGAGTGAGAATTAACTTGATGACACACAATTATTATTATCTGTATCAAAATAGCTAGGAGTCAACAAATAATTTGAGGCATAGCAAAGGATTAGTGGGATATTTTTTTTCTTGCTTGTCTTTCACAAGAAGTTTGTACAACCTATGTTTTCAAAGATACCTTCCAGCTCCAAAAGACGTTGGCTGTGTGACAGGGAGCCTTAGGATAAAAGACAGCCCAGACCTGGTGAGCACAAAGAACCACTCAGATACACAGCTACTTGGATCTTGGGTCAAAAGATCAAGCAAGCAATCTTAGGGAAATCTGCCAGATTCTTGTCTGTGTATTATATCGAGTCACAGACTGCATTTTCAGATCAGAGTGTTTTTCATTCTTACACAATTAAAGTGCTTTTACTTGACACAGCTTAAATTGGTTTCTCATTTTTATACTTGTACTTCAGGAATGTCCTTGTTAATTCATGATTGTCACCTTCTTAGTGGTGATATCATTCCACATCCTCTGTCAAGGAGTCTGGCATTGTCAAGTGAAAAATTGTTCAATAAAACAGTGCATATATTTGCTTTTAAAACATTGGCTATTTTGGTAGCCATGGGATGGGACAACAATCTCCTCTACTCAAAAACTTGCTCACTTTGTCCCTCCCACCCACTGGGAAGTCCTTGGTTGTATAGTTTGATCACAAGGACAAGTACCATACTTAGTAAAATGGAATCAGAATGGGAACAGGAAAGGGCAGGTTTGAATTCTAACTCATGCCCCTCAAAGCCCTCTTAGAATTGCCTTGTTTTCTCATACTATGGGTTCAGCTATGCCAGCATTCCTTGTTCAACAGGAATGGCTGCATAGATGCCTGCGGAATGTCCATGAGCAGAGATGGGGGTATTCGTATTATGAATACCCCTACACAGGTGGCGATAATGATGGTCCAGCAACATGGGGCCGAACAGTCCACTCACAATTCCACTGCTCCTCCAAGCTCCGGGTTCCTTCCCATCACTCTGGAGCTTGCGATCTGTGAGCCACTCTTCAACCTGGCAGCAAGGCTTGTCATCCTGGCTCCTCCCAGGAGTGGGAAGCCGACTGCGAGCTCCGGAGTGATAGGAAGGTTCCCGGAGCTTGCGGCAGCAGCGGAATTGTGAGTGGACCGTCCGGCCCCATGTGGCTGGACCTTCATTATCACCACCTGTGCGGGTGTATTCACATACAAATACAAATACCCCCATCTCTATTCATGAGCAATGGTAGGATGGCAGTATCATTCTGTGTTGATTACAACAATGTAGGATGTTTGAAATACCATCTCCTCCTCTATGAATCCGCCTGGAATTTGAGATCTTCTGCAGAGGCTCTCTGTCCCATCACTTTGAGAGGCTAGACAGGGGCATACAAGGGTAGGGCTTCCTCCATAGCAACACCTCAGTTACAGAACTCCCTCCCAAGTAAGCCAAGCTGGTTCCAGCTTCCAGCTTCCAGCAAGCGTCAAACCTGCTTTGTTTAATCATTGTTATAACTAGCTTTTAAAACTACTTTAGGCAATTTTAATGTATTTATTTGTACTATACTTTATGGGCCCTAGTGGGTATGAAAGTGATCAGTGAATCTTTTTAAACAAGAAATCAACATTATCCAGCACCTGATCACAAGAAAGAAAGAAAAAACCACCACTGAACATTGGGGTAACCAATTAACTCTCATGGCTAATAACTACTGATAGACCTCTGTGAAAGTCCCCAAAAGAGATAAGATTTTACAATAAATAAATTGCACCCCAATAGTACTGCACCCACCCATCAACTCAAGAAGGTGCCAAGTTCTCTTTTGTGCTTCCAGCTCACCTGTTTTCATTACTACATGGGTTGTTTCTTCAGTAATTTTATTGGACCAAACACTCTCAGTTTTCCTTGCAAACCTCTGTACTACACGCTGGAAACAAAGTAAATACTGAATTAGAAATGTCTGTTTTTATCAGCACACTTGATATTGCTGACTTCTCAACACAGCTTTCAATTTTTTAATTGTTTAAGGATTGTACATACCCATTATCTATATAAATAGATAATGTGGCTGAAAATATTTGCATTATTAACTACTGTACAGTAAAACAAACATTTAAAAATAACCAGAGAGAATGGGGGAGAGAGAAAGAGAGATCGATCAGATAAAACATTTAATTCTAAAGTTAACAAAGTATAAAAAATTAAGAAGCTAACAGTTTGATAGGCCAAATACCCTTTGAAGAAGAAAGGGCTTCAAAGTGATAGCAGGACAGAGAAATTAGGCAGGCTTCCCTATGTGAACTTCCATGGAGCTGCAAACAGGTTCCTCTCATGTTCTAGCTAAATGCAAATCAGGTATTAGTAAGAGCTAGAGATGGGAGCATTCATCTACAAATATGAATACCCCTGTACAGGTGGCGTTAATGAGGGTCCAGCCCCATGGGGCTACGGTCCACTCACCGATTTGATGCAGACGGCACAATTCTACTAATGGCTCCGTAACTCGCAATCCGCTTACCACTCCTGGCAGGAGGCGGGAAGACAAGCCTTGCTTGTCTTGTCAAAGAGTGGCGAGCAGATCAAACGCTGCAGAGCCACTGGCAGAATCACGCTGTCCGCGGCAGATCAGTGAGTGGACTGTCTGGCCCCATGGGGCTGGCCCCTCGTTAATGCCACCTGTGTGGGGATATTCATATCCCCCCATCTCTAGTAGGAGCCTCTATAGAGAATTATAATAGCAAGCAGGACAAGGTGTTCCCGTGGGTGCCCATATCTCAGAGCAGAAAAAGTTTGAAAAATCATAACCAGCACTTTTGAACTGTGCCTGGAAACAGACCAAATACACATAAGTTGTAGTAACAGACGCTGCTTATACCTGGCCCCAGTTACGGTTAGACATAATCTAGCTGAAAACATACATGACGACGATAATCTGTTCCAGGAAAATCGCTGTTAAGCTAAATCATTGTCAAGCGAAAAAATCCATCTGAATGCAATGAAAACCGGTCAATGCATTCCAATGGGGAAATACCTCATAGTCCAGCGAAGATTGCCCATAGAGAACTGCCGATCAGCTGTTAAAAATCGCTGTTTTCCGAAGCAGGGGTCCGGAAAGCAACCATTTTGTAAAGGGAGGGAAGCCATTTTGTGGAGGGAAGCCATTTTGTGGAACCGGAAAAACTGTCGTATAGCGAACAAGCGGTTCGCAAAGCAGGCTCCTAATCAACGTAATGCGGATTTCCCCATTTGGAGCCACCATTTTGTGATCGCAATAAAGTCATCGTTAAGTGATTTTGATGTCATGTGTGTTAAGCGTCTAGTGGGGTACCACTGTAATTGAATATGTCCAGTGTGACTAGACACGGAACGCTGTTGCCTTCCCATCATGGTGGTACCTATTTATCTACTTGCATTTTTACATGCTTTCGAACTGCTAGGTTGGCAGGAACTGGGACAAGCAACGAGAGCTCACTCTGTCATGTGGATTCGATCTTATGACTGCTGGTCTTCTGACCTTACAGCACAGAGGCTTCTGCAGTTTAACCCACAGCGCCACCACATCCCTAATCTGATCTCCTTATACATAGGTCCAGAAACACCTCTGTGTTGTGTTGATTAAGTGTGTACTTGTTCACTTTTGTGGCTTTAGAACATAGCACAATGTTTCTCGAACTTCTCAGCATCCTCCCCTTTTGATTTCTGAGAATTCATAACTCCCAACCTCTCTTTTACCATTGTTAAAAAGAATCACTTTATAATTTGGAACAGTTTAACACTATTTTTAATAAATTTTATTTGTGAACTTTTTTCCTTATGAAAATCTCAGTCAAGATCTAGCACCCTCAGTTTGGGGACAAATGGTTTAGACTGTCTTCTTGGAATGTGATGGCAAAGAAATAGTTTGGAATCACCCATTTTGCAGCATCACCTTATCCAAAACTGCATTCTATGAGTTTTATGTAGCTTTACTTGCTACATAATTAAATGACAGGCAATATCATGGAATTCTACAGTTAGATTGAAATACATTCAGATAATCCATTATTACTCAAGGAAACCTGAAATAAGGGCCTGCAGTGAACAATATCCCGTTGTATTAGGTGTAGCACATTTTCAGAGTTTGTGCAAGGGTGCCACCCACTATAATTTTGTTGTGTAAGCATTTGTGTAAGGGTTTGTATGAACAGCACAACTGCTTGTGCCTGATGAGATCTGCAACACAACCAGCCTACTGGTAATTTTCAGTTTGGAAGTAGAAAAATTGTAGTTTATGCAGATAAAGGGTTCTGTCTTGCATACCCTAGAACTTTGGTTACTTTTACAGTACAAAGCATTGTTGTTTTTCAAGCATGACATCCCAACAACTTTCCATCCTATATAACGACTCATTGCATGGTCATAGGCACTTCACACACCCTTGCTTTTTCCTCAGACAGAAAAACTGCCATCTTTCCTTAGCAAAGGCAACTGTAAGTAGAGGCAGTTAAACTCCTAAAACATTCTGAAGTGAAAGAGCATTTATTAAATCTGCAAAGTATTTCTCAGATCCCTTCTTAAGATTATTATGCATTACAATACAACCTTTTGTACAGCCATGGCCAAAAATATTGGCACCCTTGCAATTCTGTCAGAAAATGCAACCCTTCTCTCAGAAAATTGTTGCAGTTGCAAATGTTTTGGTACTCACATTTTCATTTCTTTGGTTTGTGTTGGAACAACACAAAAAATAGAGAAGAAAAGTCAAATCTGATACAGTCCCATACAGAAACCTAAAAATGCACTGGTCAAAATTATTGGCACCCTTAACTTAATATTTGGTAGCACCTCCTTTGTAAAAAATAACTGAAATCAATTGTTTTCTGAAACCATGAATGAGTTTCTTATACCTCTCTACTGGAATTTTGGATCACTCTTCTTTTGCAAACTGCTCCAGGGCTTTCACATTTGAAGGATGCCTCCTCCCAACTGCTGTTTTTGAGATCTCTCCACAGGTATATCTGATCTTGACTCATTGCTGGCCATTTCAGAACTCTCCAGTGCTTTGTCTGTAACCATTTCTGAGTGCTTTTTGAAGTGTGTCAGAAGACCCATGACCTCTGGTGGAGACGCAGCTTTCTGACACTGGCCACTACGCTGCGCCCCAACATTCTTTGGTGATCTTCAGAATTCATGATACTGTTCACACAGTCAAGGCATCCAGTGCCAGAAGCAGCAAAGCAACGCCAAAACATCTTGGAACCTCCACCATGTTTGACTGTAGGGACTGTGTTCTGTTCTCTGAATGCCTCATTTCTTTTTCTGACAGAATTGCAAGGGTGCCAATATTTTTGGTTATGACTGTATCAGGCCTGACACCCTCTTTTTCCTCCTACCCTTTTGGGGCTGACTTGCTTCTCTGTAGACTAAATAAGAGATCTGGTTAACTCAGACATTTGATTTTTGATGTTCCACTTGGTCCTCACAAAGATAATAGGATGCCATTACATGACAGAAGCAACAATAGTTAATTCTCACAAAATAAGGAAGAAAAATCCAAACTATAAAATAATTCAAACTACGGAGGTTGACAGTGGCATGTAAACATTTTAATGTAACTTTTCAACCCCAATGGAGAAAGCTCATAAAATTCTGACTCCAGTCCTAGAAATTTCAAATAGTGGGTTGACAGCTTATCTGGTTCCAGACAAATCTTTTATCACACCACTGCCCTACCCCACTGCTGGATTCTATAGGAGGGTGTCATCACCCTCTACTCATAACTCTCTCTTGTTTTCCACCCTCTTTTTCTTTCTTGTTAAAAATAAAAAGACAGAATAAATACACAGAGCCTTCTAATTGCTAAGGGGAGGAGCCCTCTGCCTGGAAACCCTTCCACCAGCAATGTTTCTGAAAGCAGAGAACACACTCTCCCATAGCAGCCATGGAGCCAAATGAAGGGGCATGATGGTTTCCACTAGCTGCTTACAAGGGAAAAAAGAAAGGACTTGATTTGAATGGGAGATTCTGACCCTTGCTCTATAGACTATGCTAGGTTTGGCATTGATTATGCATGCTACAAGAGGGTCATAGAAGCATATCAAGTGATACTTACCAACTCGCCTTGGTTCAGTCCTGATGCCACGAGAGACATATTTCTCTTGCTGGTGAGGAGAGGGCTCTTTGAGTTCCTTTTCCTGGCACTGTGGTATGTTGCAGCTGTGAAGGGAGAGACCAGCCCTCCCTGTCTCTCATGACTTGATCTTCTACCTGTACCTGGTGTAGCACTAGGAGATCCTCTTGCTGCCTTTGGGGTCAAAACATTGGAAATTGGCTCTTTTGACTTTGATGACAAAGTGGAATTACTGTCTGGAATGCAATGGGTGCTCTTGACAGTGATGGAGACGTCAGCGAGGAAGCTTTGTTTGCTTTCAGGTGTCAACTTTACTTTATTTCCTGTAACAAAAGGAGGGCGGGAATTACTATGGTATTAAAAGAAGTGACTAGAGTGACTCCATCACTAGAGTAACAGGAATGGGTTATTTTGAAGAAATAACTTCCCAAGCTCTGATCCAAGTACTTGTGGCCTTTCTCTTCTCAAGGGAAAGAACTACAATCTCACAGTAACTCTGCCAAGAGGGCACTCATGCAAACATCAGCTAGTTTCATGGTTTACATAGACTCCTAAGCTACCTAATTCACATGGATTCTGACACTACAAAACCAGACCTTCACACTTGGCAGAACTTTCTAATACAGCTGGCAATTTATTAGATGGGGGGAAAAACCCTTCAGAATAATTTGACGGTAGAATTTGGATCCAAAACTCATATCACATCTTCCAAAACAGAAATAAACAATATTTTGCCGAACCAAATTATATAAATACAACATGCAAGTGCATCAGATCATACTGTGGGAAATGGGATCTCATTTCATATATTGTGATGTGTAATTGCCTAAATAATTTCTAAGAAACCCAGCCAGGACTTTTAAATAGATAATTTAAAATCCAGATTAATTTTCAGAATCACACCACCCTTACCCCTTACATGGAGGTAGGTTTAAGAGAAAGTCAAAAGGCAAAGAGCAATTAAGAAACAGAGTAAAATGGAAAAAAAGATTACTGGAGATACTTTGTATTAAAAGGCTCAAAAAAGCAGGCTCTCCTAGATTCTAGAGAACTTCACCTAGAAAACAAGGTACCTGTTACAACGAACAGTAAAACAGTCAGTATAATATGAACCACTCATGTGTAGGATTGACAACACTGAGGTATTGAGTGTGTGCACTTCCAAACTTTCTTCAGCTTGGAACTGGTCAATGTTTGCCTTGCTTTGTTCTCCAAACAAATCTAGCATCAGAGGTGCTATTCTTCATTGCTACCATTTTTATACATCTACAGACTCAGTCCCCCATTTGTACTTTTGTCACCAGTGAATATACCAGTTCCCTCTGCTTTATTCTTCTGAGCAAATGTTAAATGCTTTCTTCTCTAAAAACAAGAAAATATACCGTAAGACCCGAAGTAGTTCTTGTGACAACCCCAGACCTACTGGGATATGCCACAGTTTCACTAAGCTGCCACCAACCATTCCCTGTAAGGAGTCACACAGACCAGGAATGGATTTTTAACAAATAAAGGAATAAGGTTTATTCAAATAACACACAGGGAAAATAAAATGATCAAGGTTTCCTGATTTGGAAAGGCTCCTGATCACAGAAACAATTAGTTATAAAAGCATGTTCATATTGGAGAGAACATTACCGTTTGAGACATCATAATGAAGGAACCCTATTCTTAAATTCTGCAGGCCAATCACAAAATTTGCAAATTGGAACTGGTCAATGTTTGCCTTGCTTTGTTCTCCAAACAAATCTAGCATCAGAGGTGCTATTCTTCATTGCTACCATTTTTATACATCTACAGACTCAGTCCCCCATTTGTACTTTTGTCACCAGTGAATATACCAGTTCCCTCTGCTTTATTCTTCTGAGCAAATGTTAAATGCTTTCTTCTCTAAAAACAAGAAAATATACCGTAAGACCTGAAGTAGTTCTTCTTTAATTAACTAATTCATCATTATATAATCAACTCTAAATAAAATTCTCTTGAATGAATTTATTTCCCCAATAATTTCTCTAATATCCTACCCACGACACAATCTGAAGACGTAAAATCTCCCCCCATGTAGTCATTTTAAAACCTGAGTCTCTGTGTCTTTCTCGTGACTCACAAAGTAGTGGGTAACCTGGGTAGAACCGAAGGCCCAAATTTTCACCCCCAGAATATGAGACAGTCCATATGAGGCTGAGAAATGGACAAAGTCCCAAAGATCAAAATAAGACATATCTGGATGTCCTCTTCAAGCTTTGATTTTTTTTATTTTTTTTTGATTGGGCTTGTGGGACATTTTGAAGTTTTTTAGTTTTGCCTGCGGGATGGAGGACATGCTCCTCAAAAGTAGGACATGTCCTCCTTTCGCCAGATGTCTGGCAACCCTATGAAAGGGGAGCCTTGGCATCAAGGTACTTATACAAGGGAGGAGGGGCCTTGTTCTAGTGTTTTTTGCTACCGCAGAAGTTCTAGAATTTTCCAATGAGGCTCCGCACAGGCACAGATCACCCAGAATGTGATTCACAGAGGCCACAAAGAACAGATTCTGCCCTTACTCTGTATGACTACCTTTCAAGTATCTGAAAAGTGCTATCATATTTCCTCTCAGTCTTCTTTTTCTCAAGGTTAAACATGCCCATTTCTTTCAGTATTTCCTCACGGAGCCTAGTTGCCAGTCATTGCCTTCTTCTCTTCTGAACTTGTTAGTTTGCTGGTATACTTCTTAAAGTGTGGTGTCCAGAATAGGACATAGTACTTGAGATGAGACCTAAACAGTGCCAAATAGAAAAGAACTAATACTTCACAGGATTTGGAAGTTACACTTTTGTTAATGCAGCCTAAATTATCATTTGCCTTTTTTGCACTGCACTGCATGGCTCACAATCAGCTTGTGATCTGCAACAGTTCTAACATCGTATTACTGAGCCATCTTGTCACTGTACTTTTTTCTTTTTTCTTTTTGCTCTCGTTGTAGAACTCTTCTTACTGATGAGTTCAATTACTACTAGTAGTTCTACTTCTCATAGATCTCACTGTCTTGTTTTGGCTAGCAGCCTCATAGTATGTACTAAATCCAAAGCAACAAAACAAAGCCCTTCCTTATCTGTAGGCCATCATCTAAGGAAAGAGCCTTTTATTATGTAGTGCTCCATCTGTTGAAAGTCCACCCCACTGGAGATGTCAGATCACTATCTTTCCCTGTATTTAAGTTGGTTGGTTCATCTAACTGCATTTTATTTATACTTTATTATTACATTTATTAAAGTGCAATGCTTCAGGATAGCAAGGACTAGCAGGCTGCACAATTGTTGGCAGGGGACACACAAGTGTATTCTCAGTGTTTTCCACTCTTCTGGGAGGATTCTTCTTAACAAACTTTGAAGTAAAGTATAAAGGTTAAAAAATAATAAAATAAAATGGGGCTACTTGGATACACGACAAATTTGCTGTGAATATGGAGAAAGTCAATTAATGCAGCATTTATGTACATGCAGTTTATATCCTGTGATGTGTACTAAAGGAGATCTAGCAAATGGCTGAGACAACACTATTGAAGGGGACCGCTTATGTTCAAAATTTTCTAATAATTTCAATATTTTAAATTGTTTGAACTTTATATTTCATAAATATTCATAATTTTAAATTGAGCAATGCTCCAATACAAATAAAGAAAATATTATCTCTATTGTACACTGCTAATACAAGTATCATTGTGTATTTTGATTACATTTGGTGTCTATATAGCCATCTTTGATTATATTTATCATTCACCACCTCTTTTGATAAAATGTGTATATACATATCCTAAGTAAATCCTATCATTGTTTTCATCCAGACTATCGTTACTTTATATAAATTACACAGGTTCTCAGTATTTCTACTACTGATAACTTCATCCAAGAATACCTGTAACATTTATGAATATTCATAGCAACTCTACAGAAGTCTACCAAGTGGGTAGGATGGGCCTTGCAAGTATCACTTGTTACTGAATTTCAGTTTCTAAACCTATTATATACAGTCAATGTTCCCTCTAATTTTTTGCCAATGCTGGGCAGGAGCCCCACCCCATATGCGCCGGGTTCCAGCCATGAGCGGAATCAAATGGGCAGCAACACTGGCTGCGGGTGTGTGATATCAATACAGGACGGTGTGATCACACAGCTTAGAGGGAACGTTGCATATAATACTTACAACAGAATACTGTGCTTCAATATTGGTAAATATCCTGGACCAGTTTTCCTCAACATGATGCCTCTCATGTTGTGGACAGTACCTACCACCAGCCCAGCCAGCATGGCTAGTGGTCAGATATTTTAGAAGGAAGCAGTTTATAGAAACTAAGACCAATTCCCAACACAAACAAAATATCCAAGTCTACCCTAAATTCTGCCCTGATATCCTACTTTCCTCCAGCTTTGATTGTCTATTATAAATACATTTTGAGTGAAATAGAATGCCAGTGACTTTAAGCATAACTCATAATCTTGAAGTGTCATCAGTCTTTAGTATTTTGTTGATTTATTATGAAATATTAACCATGAAAAGCAGAACCATATTAGTTCCTGACTCTGAAGAGTATCTGCATCTTTAATGGTCTATAAAACACTCACAGACCTGCATCAGTGTATATGTACTACCCGCTCAAATACTCAAATTACACTTTAAATATTCAATCACATTTTAAAAACACAAAGTGTCAAGCAATGCATTTTGTGGAACTAATGATAAAACAGAAGAAAACAAGGAAAGAGCAGAACAGGCCTGAGGCAAAACTCTTTTTGCTACTTTTTAACACTTGTTATTTATGATGCTTTGGAAGGGCATTAATGTATCTCTCCTCCCCAGAAAGAGATTAGAAAGAGGCAAGAGGCTTTTCAAAATAGCCAAGAGAGAAGCTGTAATTTATAATCAAGCCATCAATAAACGTAATCAGGTTGAGGCTTTTATAAGAAGGCCCCAAATGCTTTATTCTGGCTTAAAAGCCAAAACAAGGGCCATGTTAATTAAGTTGTCTACAGTCTCTTTCAGGACCCAGAGGAAGCTAATTAATCGATTCTACCAACTTAATACTCAACTGTGCTATTTATAGTTATTAAAGGAATCGGCTTTGATTGGATTTGGAAAGGCTGCAAAAACAATAGGCTGGAAGTCAGAGTAATCGGGAACAACATTTTTTTTTCTTCCTCACAGCAAATAAATTCTGTTTACATCTTAATGGAGTGCACTTCAAAACCCAGGAAGACTCATTTCAGAGGAAGCTCTGCATTTCTCTGAAAGGAACCGAGGAAAGGTTTAAGTGTAACAATGTACACACAACAGACCACAAAAGGAAAGC